TCATTGCCAGTTGAAGATGAAATCTGATCAGTAGCTTCGCTCTTGGTTGTAGATAAAATTTCTTCCGTTAAAGAGGAGATCTCATCTGCTTCAGATGTGCTAGCCGTAGGACTTGTTATCGATTCCTTGGAAGAAGTGCTTGCATATGGATTGAGCGTTGATTCCTCATTGCCAGTTGAAGACGAAATCTGATCATTAGCTCCGCTCTTGGTTGTAGATAAAATTTCTTTCGTTGAAGAGGACATCTCACCTGCCTCAGTTGTGCTAGCCGTGTGACTTGTTATCGATTTCGTGGAAGAAGTGCTTGCATATGGATTGAGCGTTGATTCCTCATTGCCAGTTGAAGATGAAATCTGATCAGTAGCTTCGCTCTTGGTTGTAGATAAAATTTCTTCCGTTGAAGAGGAGATATCACCTGCTTCAGTTGAGCTAGCCGTAGGACTTGTTATCGATTCCGTGGAAGAAGTGCTTGCATATGGATTGAGCGTTGATTCCTCATTGCCAGTTGAAGATGAAATCTGATCAGTAGCTTCGCTTTTGGTTGTAGATAAAATTTCTTCCGTTGAAGAGGAGATCTCACCTGCTTCAGTTGAGCTAGCCGTAGGACTTGTTATCGATTTCGTGGAAGAAGTGCTTGCATATGGATTGAGCGTTGATTCCTCATTGCCAGTTGAAGATGAAATCTGATCAGTAGCTTCGCTCTTGGTAGTAGATAAAATTTCTTCCGTTGAAAAGGAGATCTCAGTTGTTTCAGATGTGCTAGCCGTAGGACTTGTCATCGATTCCGTGGAAGAAGTGCTTGCATATGGATTGAGCGTTGATTCCTCAATGCCAGTTGAAGATGAAATCTGATCAGTAGCTTCGCTCTTGGTTGTAGATAAAATTTCTTCCGTTGAAGAGATCTCACCTGCTTCAGTTGAGCTAGCCGTAGGACTTGTTATCGATTCCGTGGAAGAAGTGCTTGCATTTGGATTGAGCGTTGATTCCTCATTGCCAGTTGAAGATGAATTCAGATCAGTAGTTTCGCTCCTAGTTGTAGATAAAATTCCTTCTGTGGAAGAGGAGATCTCACCTTCTTCAGTTTTGCTAGCCGTAGGACTTGTTATCGATTCCGTGGAAGAAGTGCTTGCATATGGATTGAGCGCTGATTCCTCGTTGGCAGTTGAAGATGAAATCTGATCAGTAGCTCCGCTCTTGGTTGTAGATAAAATTTCTTCCGTTGAAGAGAAGATCTCACCTGCTTCAGTTGTGCTAGCCGTAGGACTTGTTATCGATTCCGTGGAAGAAGTGCTTGCATATGGGTTGAGCGTTAATTCCTTATTGCCAGTTGAAGATGAAATCTGATCAGTAGCTTCGTTCTTGGTTGTAGATAAAATTTCTTCCGTTGAAGAGAAGATCTCATCTGCTTCAGATGTGCTAGCCGTAGGACTTGTTATCGATTCCGTGGAAGAAGTGCTTGCATATGGATTGAGCGTTGATTCCTCATTGGCAGTTGAAGATGAAATCTGATCAGTAGCTCCCTTCTTGGTTGTAGATAAAATTTCTTCCGTTGAAGAGGAGATCTCACCTGCTTCAGTTGTGCTAGCCGTAGGACTTGT